ACTTGTGGGCGTAACAAAACAATATGTCTTGTTGTAATCCCACTTCTGAGCTAAAACGCTCAGAAGGATGGTGATCTTAATTAAAACTCAGACTTCTTCAATAATAATTTGTATTCACTTGTTTTACTTTGTTTTACAAAAATTAATCTGTTGCTGTCAAAAACAAAAACGCGCGAATACCCGACAGGGATAGTGTTGCCACGTTCGAAAACCAAATCAATCCATAATAATACTATTCGGCATTTTAGTGTTTGAAATACTTAGACAATATTATTAGTCACAAATATAAATAAAGTGAGCGATAAAATATGTGACTGTAACAATCATTTGAAATGAGATCTTTAATTTCCAGAATAGTCAATATTTAGTTAGACCAATAAAAAATTACTGTATAGTCACTGACTTCTGCTCGTTACTTCGCTCATGTTACTGTGATATAAAACCTGTGCTACACTTCATGCAGATTCATTAAATAATTTTTGCTTGAAACAGTAACAAACCTGCATACGTATATCCTCACGTTTTTTAATCATATCTTGCATTTGAGACATTCTCAACTTAACTTGGCTCCAGAATTCTCTATAGCAGAATGAAAACAGATGCATTGGGGTAGGTACCTATGATTTACCTTTATACTTTCAATGTACGACCTCGACGCTATACAACACAGTTTATTCCAAAACGCAAGGCTACAAATAATAGGGACAGAGGTGGAGGTTGATGACATTATGAAGATTACCGAGTATTAGGCTTAAATTATACAAAAATCCTTGAAAAACTAAGCAATGCGGTAGCTCAAATAAAAACAAACATTACCCTACTACCATGACATGAATAAATAACTTATGTTTGCAAAGGAAGTATCGTTGCTAAAATTGATTTGATAACATCAGATGAAAAGGTGAAGGGTACAAAAAGTGCACATATCTTAATACTGTAGATAAATAAGAGGCAGTTCCTGTTACATACATATACATAATGTATCTGACATTAGAACATAAAATGTTAAGTCACGATTGAAATAATCCCTTCTCTTTTAATTAGTTAACTTCAATACTTTGTCTTTGTTTCTCAAGTATCATAAATGTATCAGTTAGTAGCTATAGTCGCTGAATAACCCAAAATTTGTGAATAACGCCTGCCAATCACTATTTCAAACCAATCCATCAATAATTTGAGTTTGAATGACACATCGATCCTACCTACTAATTAAAGTGTTTCATCATTCAATTACTAAAGATAAATAAATAAAGAAATGACAGAAAATAATACTCTAGAATAACTATTTATAACAGTTAAGTAATGGAAATATTTATTACACAACGACCACACACAATAAATAAGCCCATTCATATCTCTATAAGCACCTTTTGTCTCATCTCATTAACGCTTCATCCGTGTATAAAATTATTCGAATTAATCTGTCACTGTAATCTATAATTAGTTGCAAACATCAATTGGACCGTAACCATTTATCTTATCGATCCAGTAATTACGATAAATACACAAAGCCTCTTGTTTCGTTCAACGAACCGTTTAATCAAAAATAACTTCCAAGGTGTCTAATGTACTTAGCCAGACCTTAACTCGTCGAGTACCGGTTTTGTAGACACAATTATAGAACAATAGGTTGCGGTCACCGGTGACCGCTTGGTGTTTGACAGTTTAAAGATCATATATTCATTGCAAATATTCTTCATCAATCAAACCTAAGAAGCAAACATCACGATTATGGAAACAAAATGTCAATTAAAATAATTTACAACTTACCACAGACGTATCGGACTTCTTCACCTCTTTGATGCGCACGAAACAGTAGATGAAACTCAAAACGTACAATGTTGCACTAACTGAGAACACACCGTATAAGCCAATCTTTCGCACCAATATTCCACTAAGAGCTGCTCCAACTGGCACACCTACAGAGTGAAACAGATTCACAATGCCTATCCTCAACGTCCTTTGTTCCTCCGTAGTTATATCTGCTATGTAACTAAACACTCCCATAAACATGGTAAACCAGCCACCAGTCAATGCAGGAAATATAGCTTCAGTCACAGCCGCCACTTCCACGGGTAATTCATAGAAAAAATAAGTATTCACAATCAAGCCTATACTCGTCAAAAATTCGCCAATGATAGGTAACAGCATACATATTTTTCTCTGTCCCACTCTGTCACTGTATGCTCCAAGAAATATTAGTATTCCACATGGCAAGAATGACTGTAGCACAGTCTTCCAACCCGTTACTGATGCCACTAACGTCTGTACAGCTTCTTCTTCTGCAGTATAATTGGCTGTTTCTCTTCGAGTCAAAGCATCACAAATATGGTGATCGAATTGAAGGTTCACTCTACAAGCTTTTTCTAAATAAAGGTTTTGTGTTGCAAGCACAGACAAAACAGAAGGCATCACATAGCAAGCCAAAATAGGTTCCACAGTAATTAGAGAGATCATACGTCTTAATTTTTGAAAATGACTTAGTCCTTCCCAACTTTCTTCTTCCACTTTTTCATTTTTGTTACTTTCATGTTCTTTATCCAACTTTATGTTTGTCATATTATCGAATTCTTTAGTTTTACTAAAACGATTTTTAATTACATTAGTTCCATTTAAGTCACCACCATTAACATTAAGAGTTTTATCAGCAGTTTTGTTATTCTCCGCATTTTTGCTATCCACAGCCATGACTACGTCACGCGTATCTGAAACAAAAACATTCTTTATTATTAAATGTACTATCGTAATATTTACAATTGTCACACATTTTTATTGTACATTATATTCTTTAAATCTTTTGTTATTTTTCTCGTTTGTTATGATTGCTAAACGAATCACCGGACATAGTAATTGTTTCATGATTACCTACATACTTAACGTAATCGTCTCTAACTGAATCAATTTTACCAGACTAACAATGGTTTTATCATTCTGTTGCATCCTTTTCATTATAAAGTCATGGAGAACGGGACGATTTACAAGTACGTATAAGATATCTTTAGAACAAATTACTTTTGCGTAGAACTTTATCTTTGTTTACTAAATAAATTCTAACTATTGTAAGCGTTGTAATGACAAAGGCTGATACGACACGAGTTCTATTGTTGATTGAATAGTAAACATTTCACAATACAATTTAATTTTACGGTTCGCTACCGTGAATTTTATTACAAAGTTTTCCGGATTGCAATTCAGGCTTTATCGTAACGAAATTGCCCACAGCACTATCAAGCGCAATGTTCATAATTTTTGTACATTTTACGATTGAACTTAAAAGATCCAATCTTAGCGAAAGAAAAGAAATAATAGACTATTTTTAGATAGCAAAATTCGAATTAGTAGTATAGTGGTCACGCGACGATATTAGATCCAACAAGTGAATCGTCGTACGAGTCTCAATTGACATCAATGCCTTTTGATAATACAATCAACACATTTCTTGTAAATACAAACTAACATTTTCTACACTGTAATGTACACAGTTCTGTTACCAATAACGTGTTGTTAATAAAATATGTGTCAATATTGTCTTAAAATTATAATATGAAAATAGCAGAAACGTGACATATTCTTTTGAAACATTGATCCTCCATGTTTATATTCGAACATCAATGTATTGTCAGTCCACAAGCTATTCAACAATAGCCTAGTTTTTATATCAACGTCATTCAGGACACATCTGTGTTTATTTATGTAGATATACTGCTTTTAAATCCAATTCCAGTAGTGTATAGTACGAGTCTTCGTCACAATACATTACACAATTGTGAATTCGAAGTCTGCGATACATCAGTAAATTAACTGGTATCTGTGATTCCGGTACATCCACAATGGGTGTAAAGTGTACACTTTATTTCATTGATGCAGCAAACAACAGAATCGCATTCAACCGTTGAATGCAGACACATTCAAGTTCTTTATACGTCCGGTTTGCAAATTTTTATTAAATAATATTATATTATTATCTGAGAGAAGATTAAAAATTAAATAACACATTTATATGCTTCGTTGCGTTTTTTGAAAAATGTAACTATAATTTATATTATCTACTGTAAAATATATTCATCTTGATGACACGATGCGACTACAAAGAGCACTTGAAAATTCTATTTCTATTATCTATTGCTAAATGACATTGCGTCTCTAAGGACCATATAATAAGTATTGGTCCTTTAACCTTTTTTCGTTTACAAATGCTATAATGTAATTGCGGCATGACTGGCGTATGTTGACTGGAGTTTTTGTTGTGTACTCGACAATACACCGGGGCCGTGACAAAAAGTCGGCAGTGTCATCTCATTGACCTTGCCCAGCTGATTCCGTATTCACTATCAAGGTTGACTGGACCATGTATTTACAAGATTCAAGAGTAACATGCAGTAAAGGGAAAATCAATAAACAATTGTCATATGGGTAGTTCGTCTACATATCTACCTCGATTGTTTGGACAAACGGACAGTGGCCATCCATTTGTTGAGTGTAGACCCTGCTGCAAATATTATTTAGTTTATGCTATCACTATAAAGACCATTTAGATAACTGATAATTTTACATAGGTACATACATAACCTCACGTATGTCTAGAGACAATGGAACGCCAATTCGTACATAATTTGATAATCTTTAAAGCAGTAATTACCTATTTGAGACTAACGAAATGCCTATCAATGATACGGTTTGTGTATTGATATTATTTTAGCTAGCCCGTTTAAGGAACCACTAATAAAACAATCTTTTGCTGTAACAAACAAATGGTTTATTCATTTCAATTCCACAGAATGTCTTGTAATTGTCTAATAGTTTAACGGAAGTTAGTATAGCTGTTCAAGGAATCTTTGTACAATTTGTGATAGGCACGGCTTCCCACTCAATCGTTAGGGCAGAATTGTTGAGGTTAATTTAAACGACAATTGGTTTTACTTGGTCTTATACTCAGCTCCTGGATGTCTTTGTTTAATCTTAAATGTTCTTAAGTAGTTCATTTAGTCATCCCTGTCTTCAAATCTACATTGTTATCTGGTGCTAAGAATCGCAGTGTAGTTTTACGTGGTGTGATGCGTTTAAAATCTTATTATTTTTATCTAGTCGTAGGTATATTAAATTTGTTTAAAATGTGGTGTTAATATTAAAAATAACAATTATTATTTCAAATTTTGAATTAATGAAAATTTTAATACAAAATAGCAGGACTTTTATTCAACAGGCGTTAGGTTAGGTATCAAGTTACTTTATAATTTAATTCAAAAATTACAGTAAATTTTCATTTCTGAAACAAAGGAACATTTTCCATGGCTAAGAACCGAATTTAGTAGAAAAGAAACATTATGAATCATTACCAATTCCATATGACAAAGAATAATTCTTTTAATTACTAAAATTACTATTACATTACCGACTTTATTTTTTTTACTTGACTTTTATATTCATTCATTGAATTTATTAGCATTTGAAAGTTTAACTGCCAATAAATTAAACAGTTTGCCATACAATAAAAATATATCAGTTTTAATTTATTGTAAACGTCTTTTCGCGCTTATCGTTTCCTTGTGTGATTTTTTTATGGGGAATTCTTCATCGCCTCAAAATAAATATAATGTTAAAAAACGTAGCGTTGTCTTTTTTGTGTTAAAATGTAAATTAAGCAATAAAGTAATTAGCGACAAGAGACTAATTATTCTTGTATTAAAAGTAGGTAATACGTAATGAGGTTGTATACAATTTACCCAAGTGATTTTTTTTTTCATTTCATGACGCATGTATACTGAAGATTTCCTGGTTTTTGAATTGTCTCGAATGCTTAAGTTTTTTGTTTGAATCTGTAAACAAAGTGATGACTTGTGAATTTGTTGCATCGGCACTTTCAATTGATTCTATGCAAATATGTATTGCTTATCTTGAGAAGAGAAGTGATTATATGCAAATAGGAAACGTTTATCTTAAGGAGTCGAAGTCTTCAAAATATTAACTAAGAACAAAAAAAGGCTTTATATTTAGGTACCTATAGCAAACTAAACATAGCGTAGATTAAAAATGGATTTATTTTGTTATCTTCTTCTTGTTCTTATCTAGTATTTCGGGATATATTTATTATGTGACACTTGTACACAAGTCATGATAACAATAATATAACATTACGCATATTATCCCCGAAGGAGTAGGCAGAGGTGCACATTATGCCACTGTACCTACAATGTAATCTCACTAACTCACTTTTCACTATTTATGTTCTGAGTCCCATGTAATAGGGGGTGAGCCTATTGCCATATACCGGGCACAATTCCAAACTCCGTGCTACTACTGAGAATTTAAAAAAACCCAGTAACATAATATAATAACGATTATAATTAATTTTTACGTGATTATTCAATGACTAACTAGTTAAAATTGGTAAACCTGAGCCAGAGTAACTACTCTGGCTAGAGTAACTACTCTGGCTCAGGAAGGGAGTGTCAGACTCTTACTAACTAAAAACCACCCCGTTCCTTCTCCTGCACGTCGAGCCGGAGTCCCGGTTACCTGTTAGGTTCTCCGCGACATCTAAAGATAGATAGGTTATAAAAAATGGCCGTTAGAAAACTCACCAAGCGTTGCTACATGGGGGTTTTTCTAATCAATTCTAATATTTAATCTACTTGGAATATGTATAATTGTGTTGATCATAGTAATTATCTAATTAGTTATGATAAATACTAAGAACCAACCAAGTGCTAAAAACTTAGATTCACTTAAAACTCAAATTGAAATAGCTGAAGACTTTTTTGTGTTATAACATAATCATATAATTGAATTAAATACACAAATAAGAAGTAATTTGAAGCAAAAAATATCTACGCGTCTAATTAAACCGTTTTATTACGAAAATTGGATTTTCCGTACATTGAAATTCAAAGTAAAATTCTTTTATGAATTCATTGAATAATCATCTTGTCATATTTTTTGCATATTTGACGTTAATTAGTAAAAGAACTATGGACGTACCTACATTTTGTGGTACGTCATAACATTTAATAGTTTCAGCGTGATTGACGAACTAACACCCAAACTAAGAAAATTTCACAATGATACGTATATTATTAGTGTGATTTAGTTGAAACTGAGTTGAGAAAGAATTATGAAATTTAATAAACCTTCAGTTGTAAAAATAAATAAAAAAAATAAACTCTAAGTTCATAGAAAGCCCTTGACAAAATTAAAAAAATATTACATTTTTCTTTATTTTATCACATACCGTGTTCATGCTATATCTTTTTATGTTTTTGACACATATTCCAAGGGAAACCTCGTTTCAAAAGTAATAAATATAGATTTTGTATAACGAAGTATAATTTTTTAGTATTTTATTTCTCTTTTTCATGGACAGACGAATAAGTAATCTTTTGATCTGTGTTTTTCTATTCTTTTGTATTTATAAAATTATTAGTTGGCTATATTTTATTGGCTATTGTCTTGTAATAAATTAATATTAAAATATTATTTTATTAACCTCTCGAGAGGGTTCGGCATAACTGTACAATTAGCCTAATTCGTTATCTTTAAAAATCATCAGCTAATAAATAGGAAAAAAGTAAATATGTAGGTTGAATCTATTCTTTATATAATAATATAGGTAGGCTGGGGTTACTGTAATCTCCAGGCAGCATACAGTTATGAGGTTTCAGTCTCTGACAAATGATACAGTCCCTAATACGGCTCCTACATTCATAGGCCAATTGGGTGTGCTAACAATTATATGCTGTACCACTATCACCATACGGCTTTATATCCGGCCTGGTTATTCCTTACGCACAATATTCCCGCTGAGAAATTTAATTTAACTCGTTTGGCGGGATTTTTTAGGTTGTCTTAGGTCACCATATACGAACTTCAGGCACTTATACGAACTTCAACTAGGTTAAAGTACTTAGTCTAAGGTTTAAGAAACAGTCTAGCAACCTGTTTAATGCAGAGGCGATGTAATATCCTCTCGTAATCGCATGCAACATGAGTTATTAGATTTCGCAACACATCCATCTTGGTATCACTATAAGAGAGGTCTTGTAACTTGTACTAGAATATTCTATAAAATTGAAAGTAGTTTTACTTAATAAGCGTAGATTCGGAAGAGATTTACTTCAATCGTATAGAAATCAGAAGATTCTATGATTCTGTATTTTGGGTGCTGCTGATTAACAAAAGCGTAATAATAGTTCGCCAACCGCGGGGGATTAAAAATAAATCAAATGTTATAAATACGAAGGGGTAGGCAGAGGTGCACGTTACTTAATGCCACTGTACAATGTAACACCCACCTTATGAGTCTTATGTAATAGGGGGTGAGCCTATTGCCATATACCGGGCACATTTCCAGACTCCAATGTTAAACAAATCAAATGGTAAATTCTTATATTAATTAATACTAGATCAAAAAGACAAGAATTTTATTATCAGATCTAATTACCTTTAAATAGGAAAAACCAATCATAAAAATATTAAACTTTACATACATTTGAGGTCCTTTATTTCACGCACATTAACTTGCTTTACGCAAAATAAATCAGTACCATATTTTTTGTCGTCTGTTAATTATTAACGATGTTGTGATTCGTCGGTCATCAAAGTAGTCCAAAACTACTTAAGTGTATGTACATACATTTTTGTATACACGGCCACACATCAATCTATACAAAACCAGTTTACCCTGGTATCGCGTCGCATCATCTTTCCGTACATTTAACGTTCAGTTTATACTGGTTATGTAAAGCTCGATGTGTAGCCGTATGTACATTGTACATGTTTTTGTTGTTAGTACAACAATTGATACAATTTTTTATATGAGAAAAAACATGGACTTGTTGGTATGGGCGTCACAGTCTGCTAGTAGAACAAATACTTACGAGTACAGATGAATACAAAAGAATGGTATACCTCATCCGGGTGCATGCAATTATAAGTCATAGCAATTACTTGATAGTATGCTAAGTTGGGTCACAATAGAATGACAGAGCCCCCAAGGTCACCATAATTAAAGAAGATACCATCAGAACTGAAATACTGCATTTATAAGTTCGCATTTAATTGTTGATTGTCTTCGTTGTATATAAACATTTATATAAGATAAATATGCAAATGTTTTTATAGTATTTATCTCTTACATAATTACATTCATTACAGAGTATTTACTTTAATATTTTCTGGAAATGTTACAGGCAAAATGAGACCTAAAAACCAGCCCAGTCATAGACTAGAACTAAGACAAATGTTCGAGATGATTCATTGTGGTAATAAATTTATTCATTGCTATTTTACAGAGGTACTTATGGCCTTAAATATAAACTCGCCAAACTTTGACGTTTGATGGCGAGAGACGCTCATTGTACAAACAATTTTAATTATATCATAACATTTTTCATATAGGTACACTTTAACCCAAGCATGACATAGCAAGTATTTGTTATACCATTAGATACTTATATTGAATAAAAAGAACAATTCTGAGACAATAAACTATTTTTACTAAGACCCGTAAGTAATTAAAGAAATATGAAAAATAAAAAATTGCAAACAAAATCCCTAATCTAACTTATTACCTCCAATATAAATTCTTTTTAATTTTGACTTTATAGGTCCCCTACTATATTTTTTCCCATCTTCTCTTTGATCACTTATTAAAGGATTTTATAAGCCATCAAGCCAGCATCTAAAATTAATATCAGTTTTACAATACCTGCGTAAGGTTTTATATTAAGTAATATTTAAAACAATTAATAAAAGACTGCCTAATAAAATTGGTTAATAAAAGTGGTCGCAAGTGCGACTGCCGGGCAAGGGGTCTCGTATTCGATTCCCGGGTCGGGTAAAGTATTACTGGGTTTTAAAAAAATCGCAGTAGGATAGTAGGATAGGAGTCTGGAATTGCGCCCGATGTATGGCAATAGGCTCACTCCCTATTACATGGGACTCATAACATAAATAGTGAAAAGTGGGTGTTACATTGTACAGTGGCATTAAGGTCTGTAATGTGCACCTCTGCCTACCCCTTCGGGGATAAAAGGCGTGATATTATGTTATGTTATAAAAAAGACACAAAAGCAGTAGAATAAAATCAGTAAGCTAATCGTTTTGTATTATTACAACATTAGTCATTTGGAATTTCACTTGTCTCCATAGCGTTCATATACACACTTTAAGTGATACAAAGAACATTATGTCATAGAAGTATGAAACAAATTAGCTTAACACGTTAATCGCCGGTTATGTCTGGTTACGTACGTAAGTTGAGAATTTTTTAGGCAAAAGACCAGACGAATCACCTGATGTTAAGAAATTGGATCAGCACTGCCCATGGACATCCGCAACACTGAAGTAAATTGATAATACGAGTCACAAGTGCGTAGAGTACTATTTAGGAGGAAGGTTGTACCAGTTTGCCTTCGGTAACCCCTTTTGGATTTATTTTCAACAGGTTTCTATTTGCAGCCAAATGTTTAGCAGACGAAATTCTACCAAGAATGGATTGGTTTAGGTTAGAGGCGTAAATCTATTGGTAAAGAATTTTTTATGGGAAAAGCCGGGAAACTAGCACATGGATCACCTGATGGCAGCGTCGACCATAGATACCAGGAACACCAGAGGCGTTAGAAGTGCATTACTGGCCTTTTTGGGATTAGGAATTTGAGGAACGTTGAGGATTTAGGGATTGGGGAGAATGGGGAGGGTGACCTCACTCCCATGACGAAACACAACGCAAGCGTTATTTCACATCGGTTTTCTGTAGAAATCGTGGTATCACTCCGGTCGAGCCGGCCCATTCGTGTCGAAGCGTGACTCAACCTAAACC